TCAAAGTGTATAACTTAGACATGTAAACGAGTCGGCCAAACCATGCTCGAACTTCTATATAGCTAGCTCATGTCTTTATCATTAGTTAAACCGAATCGATGAAAACGAGCACATACTTTGCTCATTTATTAATAGTAGCAACCTCAGTTCGAGCCTTAGCGAGCTAAGCTAAAATATCATAAAATTGCGTAACTCCAAATTTTCGAGCCTAACCAGCTTGTGTTCGAGTTCGCCTAGTTTCTCGCACGAGCCGAGCCTAGTCAAGATTAGAGCTGTTAAACGAAATGAGCCGCTCGTGAGCTCGGCTCCACTCGTTAAGGCTCGAGGTTGACTCAGCTCAAACTCGTTAAAAACTCATTTCGTTAGCGAGCAGAGCTCATCTCTAATCGATAAGACTTGAAAAGAGAATTTTTATATAATTCTTTTATATTCCATTTCGTGAATGCTGGATATCAGCTTGTTAATATTGATAAATGAGCTAAGCTCGAACTCGATTTCCGGCTCTCGTTTACTAAAAAAGCCGAGTCAAACTTGTTAAGTGCTCATGCTCGAGCTCGGCTCTTTACAGCCCTAGTCAAGATCGCTTGTTTCGTATAAAACTATATGTAAAAGTGTAGAAAAGAAACGGCTGTAAAAACCAAGAAAAAATATATCTAGTTGGTGTTATTATTATTAATTTTTTTTTTTTTTAAATTTGTTTTAATTTTCCTGATTTTGGTTTTGGGCTCAATTAGGGCGACGTCATCAGCTTGAACGAGCAGCTGGCCAACCACGAAGCAACGGTTTCCCGCGTCGCCGCTTTGCTCGGCGGCAAGGCCGCGGCCAAACGGCGGCTGAGAAAGTGCATATATTTAGTGGGAATGGGCAACAACGACTACCTCGCCTATTATTTGCCGCAATTCCACTCCAAAACGGCGCCGTATGACCCCCACCAGTTCGCCGCCCTCCTCCTCCACCGCTACTCCACCCAACTCCGAGTCAGATTCTCATTCATTCATTCATTTATTTATTTCATTTCATTTCAATTTCCAAAACACCCAATTACTTTTTGAGTAAATAAAAAATTAATTCCTCTTTTCGATCTTACCGCCGGCAGAGGCTGTACGATAGTGGGGCGAGGAAGATAGCGTTGTCGGCGATCGGAAAATTGGGGTGCCTGCCGCAGGTTATCGCCACCTACGGCGCCTCCGACGACCGCTCGCTCTGCGTCGAGACCACCAACGACGTCGTCCAGATTTTCAACGAATTTCTAGGGCTTCTAGTGAGAGACCTCAACAATCAGCTTCCCGGAGCAAAATTCCTGATCGCCGGAGACAGCTCCAGCACCTCTTCATACGGTAATCGAATTTAATTTGATCTCAAGCATTTGATTGGGTGAATTCTTTGTTACCTTGTTTGAAATTTATTTGTTTTTTTTTAGGGAATATCACGGATTTGAGCAATCCGTGCTGCCGGGTGTCAAGCGACGAGTCGTCGGCCGGGCAGTGTCTGCCGGAGATCGCGCCGTGCGTCGACCGGGAAAAGTACATGTTTTGGGATGGGTTTCACCCGACGGAGGCGGGCAATTTGGTATCGGCCAAAATTGCGTACCAAAACATGGAGCCCTTGTATGCTCTTAATGATAATAACGATAATCGTGTGGCTGTTTTGTAATTTTCTAATTTTTTTCTTTTCCTGTACTTTTGGGGTGACGTGGTTTTTTCACGGGCCAATAAAATTGTTCGACTGTGTTGATTTGACATCGCATTATTTTTCGTTTTTATATTGAACGGAATTGTGTGTCACTATGTATTTTTCCGTTGACTATTTTTTCAAAATAAGACGTTGACCGGGAAAAAAATTGACATATATCTTCTATTGTTTTTTTTGTTTTTACATATTTTGAGTGAACACTCAAGTCGAGCATGTTCACAAACGCGCAGATCATGTTCGCTAGCAGCTCGTTTATGATTTGGGTTTGTAAAAAGCGAGCTTAGCCAAACCAAACTTAAACCAGCCAAGCATGCTTGTTTATTAAACAAGCACGAACTCGAAAATGATGTGTTTGGCTCAGCTCGAATAACACTAAGTTGTTTTCACAATGAGTTTACAGACCAATTAATCACTTGATATATTTTTGCAGCTCAACTACTCTTTCTGATCCAATTTATTCACAACCGTACATTCGAACATAATTTTTGCCCAAAAAGAAATTATCGGGTATCTTGAATTAATTTTCACTATATATTTGTGTAGGGCAATCGTTTCACGACGAACATGTGCAACTCCAAAATCATGGAACAAATTTGCAGTTTGGGTTTGGTTTTTATGATTATTTGCCAATTTTCTACAAATTAACATAAATCCTAATGTAAGGCAATTAGTAAAACACACGAATTTATTGTTAACATATATATCATTAAGCGACCGAAACTGGTAACGCCATATTCCGGGCGATCAAAGCTCACGAGTAACGCCATACAAATTAAGTATATTACATACATACAATCTTTTTCAAGAACACGACATTAATGAACGAAAGCAGAAGAAGAGAGTACCTGAGTTCTCACTTAAAACATACATTAAAAAAAAAAAATGTCTGAGTGACTTACATGGATTACGTAATTAGGAATTTATACGAAACTCGAACTTCCATAGCCATGTAAAGCTTCTAGCAGAAGCACTTCATTTATTTCAGCTATTCAGAGAAGATTAACAATTTGTTAGTTTGACTATAATTGTGTATTGATCATAATATTTGATTTCATACATAAAAACAGACTATTTCCTAAGTTCATGGTGCATTTAACTACAAAGAATGCAGAAAATTTATTAAAAAAAATCAAGAATCACACATAAATGTAGTATATATTCTCATTAATTAAATGTAAAGCAGGGTTTAAGTCTTACACTAACTGAAGTGGTGGATCGTCATTGGGTTGAAGCCCGTTGACTTGAAGGAAATTTCGAGCATCAAAAGTCTGAGGTTGACCGAGCTCAAAGTCGGAACTTCCAGGCATCAAGTTCATGTGCTGCTGGACTCTCTCAGTTTCAGCTATCTACAAAAATTTACTCATCAACAATATATTGTGTTAAATTCTAAATAAAAAATAAAAAATAAAAAATCATACGTAATTAAGCAAGTGACATGCAAAATTGTCTCATTGTGAACTTACCTTTGCTCGAAGGTACTGATTATTATGGTGTAAATCAATCTCCTGCTGCCAATATTTTTTTACACGACAAAAACAACATAATCAGGTAGCTGAGAATCTACATAAATTAGTCGTAAATGGAGATACGTCGATCTTTCTAAAAGAATAATAACAATAGCAAAAATGCATTAATTTTTAGTCCTGTTGGTTTTAATACCGTAGCAATTTTAGCCTCTAAGGTTCTAACTTTTCGCCTGTTGATCATGAGATTTAATATTTTGCTGGAATTTCAGTCTTTTGAGTACTGAAATCGCAACAGAAATTTTAATTTACAAAAATTAAACTGCTAATAAAAAATTCATCGCCAGAGATGCAAATTTAGAAATTTAGTGCAACTTTTATCCTCAAATAATCAAATTGCAGCAAAATATTAAATCACATTATCAAAAGGCGAAATGTAAAAAATCTTGAGACTAAAATCGCTATGTAAGACTAAAAATTCAATTTAGCCTAATAACAATAGAACTGCGACAACCAAATTACAAATTATACATTTGTTTCGGAAAAATAGAATGCGCGATTTTCGTGCAACATATTTTCGATAAAACACATTATTATTACAATCAAATTGCACATTGTGAGTTGATGATGGTAACTTACCCTTTTCTGCATGTACTCAATTTCAGCAAAGAGCAACTCATTCTGAAGATATAAAGAAAAATTTGTGTCACTTAGCAAAGTATGATCATCATGAACAAAATAAACTAAGCTACCCGTTTTTCGTGTACCTTCTTAGACCGGATTCGGCTAATTCCTCTTTCGACTCGGCCCTCCAAATTCTTCAGTTCCCTAAGAGATAAACCTCCTAAAGCCTCACCAAGCATGTTCCTGAATAAGAAGCATCACAAGTAAATCAATGGTGATAATTAGCAACAAATTGGACCAATTAATGTTAAAATAGAGAAAAAAATAACATTAGGATTAATAAATTACAACCTGTTTTGATTCTGCAAATTACTGATTTGAGCACGCAGTTTTGATGCTTCTTGCTGGTAGTACTGAAATATTGAAAAAGTCAAAGAGTTTAATCATTAATTTGGAATTTAAATAAAAAAAAAAAATGGATTCAGCCTGCTGTTAAATCGAGTCTGGCTCAGCTCAGTTCGAGTTCGAGGCCTTAACGAGTCGAGTTCGGCCCCATTTAAAGCTCGTTTGTCTAAGCTCGGGTCGACAAGGTTTAGGGCTCGAAAATAGAATTTTTATATAATTTTTTAGAATTCCGCTCGTTAAAACTCGAGTTCGGCTTGTTAAGGCTCGAGCTCGATTTCAGGCTCATTTATCTTGCTCGGCTCGAGCTCGAGCTCGAACACTATAAGCTCGAGCTCGGCTCGGCTCGTTTACTAAATGTCAGATTATTAATAAAAAAAGAATAATAAATGTCAAATTGCTTACCTGAGTATTAGCTTCAGATATAGAGCCATTATTAGAAGAATCTGAGGAAGCTTTCTTGTACCTATCAATGGTTGCTTTCACACTGCACATTAAACGTTAATTGTCATTTCCACATATCTAATCAGTGAAATTTGCATATATTTACTCGCTCTCAAGCAGTTAAATCATTGAATAGTGCTCTCTATATGTACATTAGACAAAAAAATAGAGAAACAACCAAAACACAAGAGTGACCATGAAAATATGCAGTGTATTGAATTGATTTTTTTTTTTAGAAAATTTTAAGACTCATGGAATAAAACTTTGTTATATTTAATTTTAACTTTTTAAATCTTTTAAAAAGTTATACTTATACTGAAATTGATAATTTTAAAGACTTTTTATGAATCTATAAAAATCTCAAGGTATTCAGTTAAAATTTTTTAATTGCACATACTTTTAATTGCAAGATCTTTAAAGTAGAAAACTTTTGTAATTTTTTGGAAACTTTTTTTAAAAATTATAAAAATATAATCTTTGTAGAAATTTCATTAAATTTGTGAGATTTTTGTTGGACTTATATGTTACAGTCTTTTTTTTTTGTTTACACAAATGTGTATCTCATATCACTCTCATACTCTACTCTTTACTCATTTGCCCTAATTTTTTTGTCATAACTGTTTAAAATGAGTTTGTTTCTTTTTTCATTTTTTTTTTAAATTATGATTCTTCAACAATATTTAGTTTTATCATTTTTTTTTTGCTTGTGAATGTTTTTCCAAAATATCAAATGTTTGTATAGTTTGCACATTCCACTAGTTTATTTACACTCTCTTTTTGTTTGTAAATAACTTTTCAAATATCAAATGCTCATTTTGAACTGCTAACGAAACAATTGGATATAAATAAAATCGATTGATTGAATTTATTGGTTAAAGTGGGTTAATTTTGAATATAATTGATCAAGTAGAAGGTTGAGTTTGTATTTAAATAATATTTAAAATGTAATGATTAAAGTTTATATGTGATGTAAAAGTATGAGCTGAGTTACTTGAAATCACATGTTATGTGATGAGTGAACATGATTGATTTCTATTGCTAAATTTTTATTGATGATATTGAGAATAGTTGGTTTAAATTAAACTTAAGTTGCATTATGTGTTAAGTAGTGTACAAAAAAAATATTCGTTCAGTCAAAACAAATTTTAACTTGTAGTCAATTGTGCCCTAATAGTTTATTTGTTGGCATTAAGTGATTTGGGTATTAATGCTAATTTTAAAAAATAATATTGTTGTCTTTTGATAATTTATTTGATTAATGTAAACAAATATCATAATTTTTTTGTATGATTTATTTATTTATGTAGTTAATAATTTTAGAGGATTAGTTGATATTTTTATTACTAAATAGTGATGCTAAAAATATAAACGTATTCTTTTCTTCCTTGTTGAATGATCGGTGTTTACTATCAAAGATCATTTCGATTTTACAATTCTTTAACAAATATTAGAAAATATTATGATAGTCCTAAAATGTTTTTAGTAAGAATTCTATGAAAATCTCACAATATTAAGTTCACTAATATCGTAGAAAGTCAACAAAAGTCAAACACTTAAAAAGGTTATAGGGGTTGCTTGTGTATAAGTTTTGATTGGATATTATGATTTTGATTATTTTTATAATCAGAGTTAAATTGAAAAAATTTATTGAGTTAGCTTTGATTAGGATTTCGAGTTTCTATTAAAATAATATTTATAAAATAATTAAAACTTATTTGATGTATAAATAGGAGAAAAATAATTGGAAGTGATGAATAGTTAGAATTATGTAAATTGATGAATAATGAATTTAAATTGATATGATGTGTGAGGATGAGTGATTGATATTTTTAATTATATTGATAATATTGAGGGTGGTTGAGTTGTGTTATATTTGGTTAAATTTGATTAGATTCTGAGTTAAAAAAAAAATGAGTGGCAAAAAATGATTTTTTTTTTTTTTTATTATTGAATATCTCATGTCTAAGCACACGCTTAAAGTTCTTAAGAAACAATCCCCTGGCAAAAATGTTGTGTACTAATGTATTTCAATTATACAAGAGGCATTTGCAATTATAGACCAGTGGATCCAAATATTAGGGTTCAGATTTGAGGGTTTCGGAACTTTGAACAGGAATTGGTCGGCCAAACATACAATTCCGATTCAAGAGCGGGTAGTTCAGTCATTTCATAGTTTGGAACCGTTTTTCTATTGGCTAAGATAAATCGCCAACAACATGAGAACTATCAGTTCGATCAATCTCAACCATCAGTTTTGAAACTTAAATTTAAATTTTTGAAATTTTTTCTTAATGTTTGAGAGTTTTTGGTTCAAACAATTCTGATTCACCAATCAGCCAACGCAAACTCGACTCAATCAGTCTAGTTTGAGGTTTGACCTGTTGAACATATTTTGCTTAGTAGAAATGAACCCAAATTATTCAATTGGGTCAAGGTGAGCTCAAATGTATGTATGTTCTCTTATAAAGTTATTCATAAATAATAATGTTATTATCTTTTCATACTTAGTTATATAACATTTATACCCCAACCCATTTGATTAGTTGACAAGATAATATCTATTTAATTATCCAGTAAAACTACTATTATGAGAGATGCTCATACTTTCAAATTTACATATAATTATATGAAAATCAATATAGTTAACAATATGTCATTTCACAAAATAAAAATCTATATTATTATTATAAAAATATGATGATTCGACTCATTTAAAGTTAGACTGCTTCATACAAAAAATTATGTTATCTAGAAGCTATATATTACTCGCGCGTATCACTACAAAAAAAATTCTTACATTCCAACGGAAATTTTCTGTTGGAAATCTTTATATTTTCCGTTGGAATAGCTATTCCAACGGATATTCCTACGTATAAAAATTCGTGGGGAAAACGGCAGTTGGAATAGCTAAAATCCAACGGAAAATCCTATGAAAATAAATTCCTACAACTATTCAAACGGAAAAAAATCCGTTGGAAGTCCTCTACCATCCAACACTTATTCCAACACAAAATTAAGTTTGTTGGAATATTCATTGGAATTTCCAACAGAAATTTTTCCCGTTGAAATTTTTCGTTGGAATTGAAATATTTTCTTGTAGTGTATACGACCATAGGAAGGTCGATTATATAAAGAATAATATTTTATTTTATGTTAATAGCATTTAAAAAATGGAACAATAACTGAAAAAAAAATAAAAAAAAAAATTAGAAATGATCAACTAAAAAACCAATAGACAATAGCCATGAACAAAAAAAAAAACTGATTGAAAAGATTGATTCTTTAGGTCAGAGTTATTCTGTGGAACTCAAAAATGTCAAATGTGACATGATTTAATTTAGTAAAAATAACTTGTTTTCTCAGTCTGCTGCTACCTTAATTTCGTCGAGGCACTGATTGGCTGCGCCAGCCCAGCTGGCACAGAACCTCGCGATATGATTGGTCCATTATTCTAGGCACGAAACAATTTGAAAACCCCCCTTATTCCACCATGGATAATACTCATTAACTAAACTTCTGAACCCTAGAATTAAAATACCCAAAAATCATATCTTTAAATTATTAAATAATTTTGTCAGCATTTATCTTAAATAATGATTTTTTTTAGTAGTCAGTGCAGTCCAATTTGTGCAAAATATGCAACAATAACTGGAAAAAAAAAATTATAGTAAACATAATTATCATACTTTTTAAAATAATATAAATAAAGTATGGTTTTTTTTTATAGTATAAGCATGTGTTTAATTGAAAAGAATGATAACGGCATATTGTCCCGTCTAGCGCTGCAAACGAACGCGAACGCTCGAGTCAAAGCTCGAGTCGAGCTCGAGTTTGACCGAACTCGAGTCGAGCTCGAGCGGCTCGAGCACGAAATCCAGTCGAGCTCTTGCCCATATTTTGACTTGTCGAGCAGCTCGGGATACATGTTAAATTAGTAAAATACCCTTTATATATTTTAGCATAGGTCCTTAATGGTATTTTACATTTCCACATAAAAATTTTCGAGCCGGACTCGAGTCGAGCTCGAGCATTTTGATTTCGAGTCGAACTCGAGCAGCTAGAAAAAAAAAAATCAATCATGCTCGATAAGGCCAATGCTCGACTCGGCTCGACTCATTTGCAACCCTAGTCCCATCTAACAATTAGGCTGACTCATATAAAAATTTGTGACGGCAAAAATAAAGTATGATATTTCCTAGTATAATATTATTCGGGAAAAAATTGACAAATCCACTTGTAATTAGACCTATACATATAAAAATTTGTGAAAAAATATGTCAAATTTTAAAAAATTCTCTAACTTAAGAAAAGTCATGATTTTTTAACCTGAGAACAGTTGCAGAAGCTTTGTGGAAGGCCTAGACTTGGGCTATAACTTATAAATTCTGTGTATTTTCTCCATTTCATATATAAAAAAAAAAATGTTATAAAATTTTGGAGCACAAATTGGGAATCATAATTACACATTTCTTCTTTCTGTCAAAAGTCAATAGAACAAGAAAATGAACAAAATCGTGTGTGTTTGACGTGCCAAAGATTTTTGCCACTCTAACAAATCTATATATATATAGGGAGTTGCTACGGCCTCGTTACGGAACCATTCCGTCGGAATTTGTAACCGTTAGATCATTTATCCCCGACGGTTACATGATGATCTAACGGTAACAAACCCAACGGAATAGTTCCGTAACGGGGATATATATATCACATTCAATTAACTCTTATAAGAAAACCCATGTTCACTTCATATCCAGGAAAAATTGTGACAGAAGAAAAAAAAAAAAAAAAAAATTGGCAAATAGAGAAATGAGATTTATATTTGCCAAGTTTATGTAGATTGAGCCCAAATTATATATGCAAAACTAGCTTATCTTTTTAGTGAGTCTTGATTGTTTAAGCTAGATTTGTACATAAGAACAAAAAATCCATCATCTTTATAAAGCATACCACAATAGCCCACAAACAGAAAATTTTCAATGGATTTGAAAGATTTGGCATATTAAACCCTAATTAGGGTAAAAGATTCAGTTTAATTTGGTTTGTACTTCAGAAAAAAAGGTAGAGTCTTTATCAATTTGAGATTAATATGTTAGAAAAAATTCTTTATATATTTTGGATCTGGCTAGTTAAATCTGACTAACAACAAGTAAAAATAAAAAATAAAAAAATGAAATTTTGTATTAATTTTCTTTTTTTTTTTAACAAAATTGAAAAAAAAAACCCTAATAAGGTTATAATAGTGGTGCTGGCATCTTTGTTGCAGGGTCCTTTTTTCTTTACCACAGTTATGCAAGACTGATCTTGTTATTAATGAAGCTTTGAAGAAATTGAATGAAGGGACAAATGAGAACTCGACAGCTTGAAGAGAGAGAGAGAGAGAGAGAGAGAGAGAGAGAGAGAGAGAGAGAGAGAGAGAGAGAATGGACAAGCTAAAATTATAGAAGCTGTGATCTCACATTTCTTTTTAAATTTCCCATAAAAATAATTCTATTTCTTGCTTACACACAGTTGATTTGCTACTGTTTTCTATCCTTTGCAAGAGATCTATGCATTTTATTGTAATTAAAACAGAAAAAAAAAAAAAAAA